CAGCCTGTCCCTTGTGTCTCTCCCAAGACATGACACCACACCATGGGGGTCTCTGGTGTTCCTCACAGCATGGACATGACTACCATGGGCCGTTTGCCATAGATGGCATTTCACGAGAAAAGCAGGACAGCCAGGGGAGCACCAATGTGGACTGGCCTCCTCTGCTTCCGCCTGGGCCCATGTTGTTCCTCAGCAGCTTTGCGGCAGGCTCAGACACCTCCCTATGCTGGTGATGGACTTTGTGGCTCCGTTCCTACGTGTTTCACACTGAACCCAGGCACCAGACTCGGTGTTTCGGTTCCTGTCGATGTCTGCAGGTGTGAGGTTTGTTCAGGACATGGTGCAGGTGCTCCAGGCTGACATCTGCACTGTGTGCAGGGGTAAGAGCAGTGTCTGCATGGAAGGCAGCTTAAGTATCAGCATGGGAGCCACAGTCTGGGATTTACAGCTTAGCTGGGACCATGTGTCCATCTTTGCTTGTCACTGGTGTCTCTCTGAGCACTTCACCAGTTGGTATCACTGTGATGAGCAGTCTCCAGGCTGCCACAAGTAATGGTGGTCACGAGCTGAAGGTGCATGGGCCAGGTGAAGACCTGCCATGCTGTGGTGTCTCAGTGTCTGCTGAAGGTCCCTGACCTAAAAGGAGACTTGGTGTGGCTGGATTCCTGGGTCTGTTTAGCTCCAACACAACTGTGAAGGAGACTCTGCTCGGGAATGAGTCTGTCCATGGGATATATGAGTTTCCTGGCACTTCCTTTCCTTGAAGTCATTAAGTGAAAGCCCTTCTGGCTTCTGCCATTCATCCGAGAAGGATGCTCAAATGCTGTCTAATCCAGATCTAACCAGAGACATGAGTGGATCCCTGTTCTGCCTTTAGAGGAAAATCCCAACTTTATCCTCTTTCAGGATCATTAGAAGCAGAGATACTTTAAAGAAACAATTTTAAGGACTTTCCACTTTGCTGTGGTTAAATGCTTTTCCTCTACAGCTTATTTTATTTCTCATTTCCTTTAAGCTGATGTCACACACTTCCTCTTCTCTAGTGACTCTGCTGTCATGCTGCAGCTGCTCCCATTCTGGTGTCCTCTTCTTGAGAGCTGCCTGCGAGGAGACCTTCCAACCCCGGGTCAGGGAAGATAACGCTTGGAAGAACGAGCAGCCTCAGTAAACACCCATCACCACTCTACTAAAGGCTGAAGATGGATGTATCTTGCTGAGTCTTTTCGACTGTGGTAAGCAGAAAATATACTTTATTAGTACTTTTCCCCTTGGAATAGACTTTTGCTGATGGCATAGCTTGTGTTAGTGTGGTCTTTGCGCCTTGCAGCCATGAGCCAGTAAATCCTTACTGGGAGAGCACGGCCCATGGGAGAAAGCGTAGTCTGGGAGCAGAGCCTGCAGCTGCCCTGGCCATGCTCTATGCAGGGCAGTTGCTTCCACCTCTGGGTCTCCATACAGTGGAGCAGATGACAGAAGCCAGCGTCAGCTGCTGTACAAGGCAGTGTCTCAGGCTGGAGTTGCCAGGGATTTTGGTGATGCAGTGCAGCCTCCTGCAGCAGAGAACAGGACCCATGCCCGCCGTCCTGCACCCTGTCCACTGCGCCTGCTCTCCCTTCTGCTGGCACAGAGAATATTCAGGTGTTTTACACAAAGGGGCACCGCTTCAACAGCAGAGGCTGAGTGAGATCCCCATACAGCATTCCAGGGTCTAGGGCATAGGACATCTCACAAGCAGATGGGAGATGTGAGCTCGAGTTTCTCAGGCTGAAGAGGGAAGCGGGTATTGAGTAAATTTAGTGTGGAATGGTGCCACGCTCTCTTCTAGCTGTATTTTGCAGAATATCTGGCTTGACAAGTGAGAAGGGAAAAACAGCTCTCTTGTGATTCCCTGAAGGACCTTGGCGTTGGCGCTGCACAGTCTCCTAACGCAGAGACCCACCTAACGCAGAGAGCTCTCCCGAGTGCTGCCGGGGCCAGGAGAGGCACTGCCACCTCCCACAGCCCACCTTTGCCATAGATTTCCGGCAGACTCAACAACGTAGAGCACATCCTTGTATCCATCTCTCTAGACCAGAGCACAGCCCCTTTGTTCAAACCCATCCTCTGTGCAGGGCTTTGTGGTGGAGGGGGACGTGCAGGTTCACCTTCCCTTCCACCCCCCCGCTGAATCTGACAGCCGATGGGCAGACCCCACCAGTGAAGTGCAGCAGAACTCCTGGGCAAAATTTGGAGGCTGCCATGCCCAGTACAGCACCAGAAATGGAGGTGTGGATGGGCAGTGCCCCGTGACACAGTCTAAAGGGACTTCGGGAGTAACAGTCGTGCCTGTGCATTGGATGTGCGCACTTCTCTCCTCCCTGTGAATGTTGCCAGTGGGATGCATCACCCTCATTTTTTCCCCCCCGCTCTTGGTATATTCCGGTCTGGTGCTACAGTGACAGAGCACCTTTCATTGCTAAGAAGCACCAAGCACCAGAAGTGTTTGCTAAAGTTGGTAGATAGTCAAGAGCAGTGGGTTTACGATGCAGACTTGAAAAAAACCCTTAAGATTTTTAATGATCTTAGGTAATCAGGACTTTTTTCTTCTTATTCCAACATCAGACTATTGTATCAAACGCAAAGCGCCCCAGTAATTTCTCTTGCCTCTGTGCAGCCTCACCCTTCCCTGAGTGTCTGCATCTGCTGGGTGCCCTCCCGAGCTGAGAGACATAAACACTTCCAACTGGCGTAGGCCCTTACCAGAGATGGTCCCTCAGCACTGGGACTGCCACGCTCAGACACGACATTTATTCAAGCCCGTGTTGTGACAATTACTCCTTCTTATACATCGATGAGGGTGTGCAAACAGACCCACGAGAGGAGCAGTGGGACTTGCCTTGGGTTCTGCATGAATCAAAGGTAAAACAGAGAGCAGAGCGTAGGCCCCTGCCTACGCTGGAACCTCTCTGCAGGGCAGTGGGGAGTGAGATGCAGCTCCTCAGGGACATGTCAGACCTCGAGGTGTCGTAGCCCGAACCATCCTCACCTCCTGGCTACCACCACCTGCACCAGCTCCTGCCTTTAGAGATCAATGGGTGCTCAGCAGATGGGGGTGGCAGAGATCAAGGTGGATGAGGACAGATACACGTCACCTGGCCAACCACTAGTACTCCCACGGCTGCTTGTTAATTCACATGGAGCATGGCTGAAAGATGGTGTTTAAAGACACTCAAACCTCAGTGCTGCCCAGCACACAGCAGCCTGGGAAGGTCCAAGGACAAGTTGTGGATATCTGTAGTTGCCATGTCCTTAGGGGACCTGTGAGGGGTGAGGAGGGACAGGCTGGGGAAGATGACTATTGCCTTCCTCTCCTAACAGCTGGAAGGAAGTACCAGGAGGTTTTCAGAGTTTTCTGAAGAAAGGGAGAGGTTTCTTGAGCTAGAGCCAACTTCTCCATTTGCAGAGGAAAATTGCAAAGTGCGAATGTGTAAATGAGGAACAAACAGCACGTGGGCACAGAGAGAGGTACAACCAAGAGAGGGTGAGATGGGGGTTCACATCACTGTCTGCTGCTGGGGCAGATCCAGAACGTTTTGAGGCAGACGGTGCCTTCTCAGGAGGCAGCAGTCTTTGGGGGAAATATTTGTTGTCTGTGGGGCTGGCAGAGCTGAGGCAAGCACATTACCACGAGCAGCACCCGGCATTCCCATCGCAACTCGCACGAGAAGCTTAGGCGCTGTGACTGGTACAGTTTACTTATGCTCAAAGAAAACCACTATGTTATGTGAATTAGGTTAAAAACCCAGCAAGTTTGCCACCAGGGAGCGACCTAATGTCCTTGCCGGTGGCTCCCAAACTGCTTCACCTGCATTAGTTGGTTACCATCCCATGAAGAGGGAGAGGAAGACAAGCAGATCTGCAGGGTGGTGTGCTGGAGAGGTGAGTGCTAGAGTCACCAACAGGCGTGCATGTCCTCCAGACGGTAAAAGCAGCAGTATACAAGGGATTAGATTGAATTGTGTATATCTGAGACACAGACAGTATTTATGATGTGGGCACTTGGTATGTCCAAACTGTAGGCAAGATTTGAAGAAATACTAACTGAGGTGGGGGCTGGTATCAGAAACCTGAGGACGTCTCTTTAAGGACAGTGTTTGTCAGCAGTCTCACACAGGAAGGTAAAGTCCTGCTGCGGACATTTGCGTTTGATGCAGAAATTTTGATGGGAAGGGAGCTAGAATGGTTTGATGGCAATTTGAATTCAAAATGATGGTACGACAGACAACAGCCAGGATTTTAAGAGAGAGAAGCTGTAGTTAAAATCAACAATGTACCACAAAACATCACCCTTTAGGATCAATGACTCATCTTTTACATCATTCACTGAGTAAAAAAACTGAGAGCTCTGGTAGCCTATGAAGAGAACACAAGATCCTATGCTGCCTGCAACTAAGAAAACAAGTACAATCTTTAGACGTGTAAGAAGGGAAATGGCAGAAAACAAGTAGAGGGTGACTCTGGAAATGGCACTAGTGAGACATTTTTACCAGATATTGTTTTGATTCTGGAATTTCTAGGTAAAAACGTAGGCAAGTCAGAAAGCATTAAGAACCACAGGGAGGGGAAAAAGAGACCCAGAAAACCTGTTGGCTTATAGTGAAAGATTACAAAGCTTGAGATGGAGCAGAGGAACAGATGATTTTATGGAAGAACCCTCACACAGAAAAGTCTTTTGAGATGAGAGGTCTCAGATCCAGACTGCAGCAAACAACACTGGATGAAGACACAAAGGCTGTGGAAATGGTATTAAAGAGAGCACCAAGGAGACAGGACAGGTGTCTGCGGCTGGAGTCAAGGCATGAGGCAGAGCTCCCATGCTCACAGTCAGCTGAAAACGAAAGGTGGGTTTTGGCTTAGCAGTGACACTATACCAATCAGCTCATTTTATGCTTTATATTTTTAGGTAAGAAGAAAAGCTACGGCTAGAAATCCTGCTTCAGACGTGCCCACTCAGCACCACGATGTCTGGAAACAGTAAAAGTCCTGCTGAAGGTAGTGCTGATTCCTATATCTCATGCCACATAGACTCTGAGTTTCGCTACAACCTCTTCACTGTTTTCTACAGCATCATTTTCATTCTGGGCTTTGTTGCCAACTGCTACGTGCTCTGGATTTTCAGCCATATTTACCCCACCAAGAAACTCAGTGAAATCAAGATATTCATGGTGAACCTGACAGTAGCTGACCTGCTCTTCTTGGTTACGATGCCAATGTGGATTGTTTACTATCACCACCGTGGAGACTGGATCATGCCTGCGTTCCTCTGTAACGTGGCTGGCTGTTTATTTTTCGTTAACACCTACTCTTCTGTTGCCTTTCTGATGGTCATCACATACAACCGTTACCAAGCTGTGACTAATCCCATTAAAGCTGCTCAGTTTACCACCCAGAGAAGGGGCATCTACTTATCAGCAGCTATCTGGATCATAATAGTGGGCAGCGCTTTGTATTACCTTTTTGACAATAACACTAATCTGGAGGAGATCGAGTTGAAGAATTTCACACGGTGCTTTGAGCATTATGACTCTTCTGGTAGTGTTTCAGCTGTCCTCGCTATTCATGTCATCATCTGCATCCTCTTCTATATAATTTTCTTTTTTATACTGGGTTGGAACATCATCATTATCAGGACCCTGTTCTCCAAACCAGTGAAGCCACGGAAGAGTGCTCATGTCAAGCAAAGGGCACTCTGGATGGTTTGCACAGTGCTGGCTGTGTTCATCATAAGCTTTGTACCTCATCACATAGTGCACCTGCCCTGGACCCTGACTGTGCTGGAGCAGTGGCAGAAGGAAAACTGTCGGTTGCGCCAACAGCTCAACGATGCTCACCAGGTGACCTTGTGCCTCCTGAGTATGAACTGTGTGTTGGACCCAATCATCTACTGCTTCCTCACCAAGAAGTTCCAGAAGCATCTTTCAGAAAACCTGAAAAGCATGAAAGGGAGTCGCAAGTGCTCCAGGCAAACCACAGACACAGTGATTGAGGGCACAATTCACCAGGAGGAAGCCATCAGGATCTAGGTCAGCTCTGTTCTGATTGCAGACTGAGATGCGTGAACTAGTCACTAACCTTTTGTCAAAATAGGCACTGAGGAACACAACAGAGGACCATGATATTACATTTTCTTTTCCCATTAGAAAGAAGATTGGACACTCATTTCTTTTATCACATGCAATTGGTGGAACTGGAACCTGTAATAATCTGGCAGAAAGGCACCTTCTGTCTGGGCTGCTATTCTCATGGGCACAGCTCACATTATCTGCCTTCACATGAAAGGGTCTCTGCAGTGAGCAGCTGGAGGCTGAGAGTTACCATTGTGCCAGCCCAGATAGCACCACACCTGCCTGCCTGTCCTCTGCCTGCCCAGCTCCCACGAAGAATGCAGTATCAGAGCCATAAGAGATTTCTACAAGACCTGGAAGAGCAGACTGTGTTGCTGGCATTATCAAGTGACTTTTCTAAGAAGCTTGCACAATTCTGTGAAGACAGTCTGAGCTGCAGAAGCTATTGAGTGGCCGGAAGGGACATAATCCAAGGATTTCCTCAAGCGCCATCAAAGAAGAGATCTGCACCTCTGATCCCTTCTTACCTGCTCGCATGGTCTGCTGGGGTCCATACTTGACTGATGTCTGTGAGTAGCTATGACAAACTTTTGCCTTTGCTCCTAGCTCTTGAATCAGTCGAAATATGGACTAGCAGGCAAGAAAAGGAAGAGGAATTGGCAGTGCCTCAGTCCCCATCCCCAGATCAGCATTATGTCCACAGGGGACTACTGTCTGCCCTGGCTTCTTGTATGATAGCAGAAATGGCAAACCAGTGGCCTCTTTCACTCAGCTTAGTAATTTTTGGCTGACTGCATGTGTCTGTGGAAATCCAGTCTCACTTTGGAGGCTTTGGATAACAGAAGATTATTGTCAGCATGGGCATTATGATAAGAAGAAAAGCTTAAAACACATCAGTTTCTTTGTTCTTATTTATTTAAATATGTTGTAGCAAGCAACTGTACATTAATCCTTCCTCCAGCCTTTTCTGTTTCTGCTATTAAGAAATGAAGCAGACTAGTTTGTGATATCTGACCACAGGTGAAGTATTAGGTCAGGTTGTGGTCACTTTCTGAGTAAATCAGTGCTGCACAGTCATACAGTACTTGACAGACGTGTAATTCATGCATGCCAACAAGACTGGAGACTCCTCACTCAGAGATGGCTGCAGTCAGTCGGGGCCCAGGGCAAAGTGATTTTCCAGGGGTGATGACTTCTGTTACCAGTCATGAGACATTTGAGGTTCCTTTTCTGACCCAAATTGCTCAGCACAGGAAATTGGGCAGGGAAGGGAACTTACTTGTTTTCACAAGGGTTTTTGGTTCCCTAAACTACATGGAGAGTCTGGGTGATGACAGGAAAAGCGCATCTGACTGTGACGCTGATCATTCATATACAAGGACAGCAGCTTTCCTACACCCTCCAGAGAATGTGAAAGATAAGCTCAGGTTTTCCCAAAGATAGGACCAACGTTTGTGTCAGACTTTGCTTCAATTCAGTGGAAGTATGGGTCCTTCAAGTGTATATCCTGAAGATCCTCAGGCAGCTTTTATGCTTACTTGTCCAAATGAGCAAAAGAACCAAAGCGTTTCATTTTCTAATGCCATCTGCCAGGGCCAGCCATGCACTCTAGGCGCAGCATCTGATCACAATGTGAATGCATTTCCCTCCTGGTCCTGGACTCTGCTCCAGGAACGGCCACCCATAAAGAACACCTTGCTGGCACCTCTCCGCAGAGGGACAATCTCCTGACTGTGTCCTTCAGCCATGTTCAAAGCTTTGCCCTGAATCTGCAGTCAGAGCAAGAGCAGTGATTTCTATAATTTAAAAGCCAAAATCCTGCTTGCTGGAGGAATCTGCCTCTGTATTTCTGCCCTCTGTAGACTGCATGTTCTGGCTGAGGATCCTGTGCAGCTGGCAGACCAGCTGGAGCTTTCCTCTCTTGCCCTCGCCACCCTGTGCGATAGCGAAGCTCTCTTGCACCACAGCCCCTAAAGCACTGAGCAGATGGAGTCTGGCAGCTCTCAGAGGAAATGAAAGGGATTTTACATGGAGATCTGGTAAATGCGTGATCTTGTACTGATGCCTGGAAAGCTTGCAACAGAGTTTACAGTTTAGGCTACTTACTGTGGGTAAATAACAGAAAACAGCTCTAAGGCCAGTGTGGGCTTACAACAAATGTAAACTTGCATGTAAGGAAAAGGCTAAGTGAAGGAAAATGCCCCGAGGACACTTGAGGAGGATATGTTGCAGTAATTAAGTCAGCAACAATGCGTTTCTAAAAGCAGTCCAAGCTTCTACTTCTGTTCCTGGAATTACTTTCTCGGTTTTACCACAATGTTGCATTGTGCTGTTTTACTGTGCAATAAAATGGATCCTCAAAACTTCTTCTAAATAAAGCGTGTTTGCCAAGTGTTTTACCCTTTAATTTCTCCCACCTTGTCACCTTTCTGTATGCATACTCAAGGGAAATGCCTTAGTACCACGCAGACACTGCTTGATTTTGGTGTTATTTTTTTTTAAAATCACCAAGTGAACTCTTGCGAGAGGTGAAATGAAAGGGTCAGGAAGTCCTGACCTGCTGACAGGGAAGGTGAAAGAAATAATTTCAGAGAGGAAACAACTTCTGAAAAATCTGCCAGCGCTCCCCAAAACCAACCAACAGAACCCCCGAACTTTCCGACCCGCAGCGGACATTTCCAGCAGACAGCGGTCGCACGGCTTTGCCGCTCTGTGACAAAAAGTGACAAACTGCTTTAAAAAACGTGCACCGCACACCTACAGCAAGCCTGAGAGACGACCTAAAAAAGTGAAAAATAAACAAGCAGCGGTGATCCCGGCCCAGCCCCGTTCCCGAACCGGCACTGGCGGTACCGATGACCCGCTTCAGTGCGGAGGCGCTCGGCCCCTCCTGGTCCGGCCCCCGGGCGGCCCCG